GGCTGAATTGCACAAAACGCATGATCGCACCGGCTAGTCTGGTGCGCGTTGCCATTTATTTTTTTAGCTAAGCAGCTCAGCATAATAATTGTAGCGGTATTGATGAGAAAAAATTGGTTGATTCGCTTGCTAGTTTGGCGCAAGATATTTGTTCATGATCAAAATTTGCTCTCTTTGGAATGTGTGACACATCTGCATGTGAATGCCGTTGTGGTGGAGCATGGGAAGGTTGTTGGTTTGCTAGAAATGGTTGGTGACGGAGACAATTTTCTAGCAATTTTTCCGATATAAACCAAGAAAGAATGAACACCCTGGATCATTCATTACCAGTAGATATACCATCAATTTCGACCATAGTAGCTGCATTGTTGGCTTGGAAGTAGGCCACGGTGAAACGAAAGCAGCTGATGCAAGTAAACCCGGTGTAACGGAATGTTCATTTCATGCGCAGCAATATTTTGTTTTACTTCACTGTAGTGTGCGAGATATACGCTACGGCAGTTTGGCAAGCCCACCGATGGGTTTGTTTGCGAAGTTCTGGAAAAGTTGTGCTCGATGTATCTCAGAGTCAGCAATCACTTCTTCCATTATGTCCGAGTGCGGACTTATTACAGGAAATTTTTGTGGCCGAGTAATTTGTCAGAGTTCTCGTGAGGTTTACTTTATGATAATTATGTGGCACTGCAGGCTGTTCTGGATAATGCATTGCCATCGAGATATTGCACCCAGGCACCGACAGCTTCAAATCATCTGGAAGAATCCGGCGTGCACAATGATCTCAATGGTCCGTGATTTTCACTCATTCTGCGTTTCCATGCACAGAGCCAGTAGCGGGAAGATATTTCCACCAATCTTCTTTTTATTAAATCTACGCAACTGGCACATTTTCAGGCTTCTCTCCTGAGACTAATTTAAGTGCAAGAGTTTGTAACCCACGTGTGCAGTTCCACATAAAATTCTGTGCAGAATGGAAAGATGATTTGACGCTCTTCGTTTTTTCCTTTTTTTTTTTTCAAATTGTCACTGGTCAAGACGCCAGCATTTTTGGCCCTCACTTTAGTTGGTAAAAAATGGCACAGAACTCTAATAGAAATATATCTTTTGAGAGAGTTGTGAAGAAAAAATGATTCTTTTAGATAAAATCTGAATCATTCGCAAGATGCAGAGAGAAGCTTCTTCCTCTTACGCTTAAATGATGGCAAGCAGTAACTTCTTCTTTTCTTAAAACGTTGTCGCATACAGGGACTTCTTTCTTAATTGTAGTTCAAAAATAATTTTGATAAGCGTGACTTGTTTCAGTGTATCTGTGTTTCAGGTACAACGGAATTGTTCTCGTCGACGTTTGCGATGCTCTCCGCCGATAGCTCATTGTCGTGGGATAGTGCTTGGGATGGACAACACTGCTTCTCGAATGCCGTTCATTCATTCCCCGTCAGTGAGGTGATCTTGAGAACGCTCATTTTTCCATTGCCCGATGAAAAGTTGAAAATGCTGAAAAAAGTAAAAATAAACAGGCGTTCGTGGTGAAATAAGAAATGCTGCCTCTTTCTTGTGCGTTGTTGTTGGCTGTACATACAGGCTCGCAGCTGGGCTGTTTCTGGATACGGGGCCCTTTTTTCTCACCAAATTCACTTTGAATTACCGTCGGCCCGAAATGACGAGATTTTTTATAGTTTGGACAGAGTCGGCAAACGAGGCATTGTCATCTCAAAATGTTTTGCTGCTTGTCAGAACGGTTGGGAATGATTTTGAAAAATGGGGAAGTTGTGATTTACGAAAGACAGCTTCTTATCTTGTGTTCACTGTGAAGTCAGGCTGTAGTGAATGACTTGTAGATGCATATGGCCATGAACGGAGGCAGTTTTACTTATCCGACACATTCCGTAATCGCCTGTTCTTCAGGGGATCCCAGGTTTGGTTTTTCCTTCAAAATTAGTTTTTCACTTGCCAGCCATTTTGGACGTGTACTTTCGATCTTCGTCATCTCATTCTTATATTTCCCATTGGCAGAACCAAATGTTCATTTTATTGCTTGTGCAGACGAATCGTGTCAGTGATCTTTCCACATGAGGGGCGTGCTTTTGCTACTGAAGAAACTACATAAATTTTATGTGAAGAGAAACGGTGCTAAAAGTGTATTGTGGCTGGCGGATTTGATGAGCTGGGCATAGAAATTTGGCTAGAGTGATATAGAATTTGCAAAGTTTTATTAGGGTATGCAGATTTTCGTTAAAAGGTACTTGTTTACTGGAGAGAACCGGTTAGAATTAAATCGTACACGCAAATTAAATCGCTAAAGTGCAAAAATTTTCATATCGAGTCAAATAAAGGACAAAATCAAAAGGTCATTTTGGGTATTAGGTGGTAAAACGCGCTTTAGTTGTGCCTCACTCAAAAATGATTTCTAAGGTGCTGCTGCACATTGTGCTTTTTGTTACGAGTGGAATTTTTTTGTGGTTGTAACAAGACTGGGTAGTTTCTGTTTGGATACATTATTTTGGCCGTTATAAAACAAATTTCACGCTGCACATGCTTGCATACATCTCTTTTGAATGATTATATTTGAACAAGTTGAAATTGCGATGAGGAGGTCGGTGGAGGAAAAGGGAAAAGAGACTGTTCTCACACTGCTTTTAAGTAACTCGTTTTTTTTGGGAGGGATAAACTGCAAAGTGTTAAATTGATGAGTTCGAGTAACTGAGGGAATGAAAAAGCAAAAGAAATAGAGATGTAATAGTCAGTCGAAGAGGCTCCGATCAACGAGGATGTGAAAGAAACACGAGAAGAATCGGTCCAGGATGAGCATTGTGCGACATTTTGCTGCATTCCAGGACGGCTCATATTCCTTGCGAGAAACCATGCGGCTGTTGGTTTTTTTTTTTTGGTCTGTTGAACTGACTTTGTGTTTTATCGAACTTGTCAGTTGTGTTGGCGAATAATTATGGGCTTTTAAGAGTTCAGGATGACAGATACAGAAATTCCTGAATACCAGATTTTAAAACTCCTTTTTCTTTCAGATATCAGTCGACAAGCAACAGCTTACTGGAGAACAGTGGTTTACTCAGTAACGGGCAACAGATAAATGCTCATGTGAACACTCCAAACGGGGAGACTGTACAAGCGGCGAAGTTTACTCAACGGGCGAATTGTTCTGAAAAGTTGAGTAATAGTGCGCTGTCGAATTTCTCTCCTGCGTACTCCAGGACGACTCATGTCCCTCAATCAGCAGGTGATTTTGTTGGTTTCTTGAATTATTGGCCGTGAAAAAAAGTGTTTTTTCAGTTATTTCAGTTAATGGAATGAAACAGAACATGAAAGCTAACTACTGCTGTTTTGGATATAGCCAATGACTTGTGGCGACACTACGAAGAACACTCTCCTTTGTGTACTGCCATGGCCTTGTTAAGGTGTAACGATACGCTGTTGTCTTCGCATGGCCGATTACTACTGAGGAGATTAATGATGGGACTAACTAACACTTCCCGTTGGTGTGACTGCTGAGCAGCTAGTCAGTTTTAGCAGAGGTGCCGGAACACATCCTCACTTCCGATGAGTTTTGTAGATTCTGCTGCCAATTAATGCGTTGAAAAGTGACTAAGTTTAAGTTGGCCAGTTTTTTAACTGCTTCCTGTCCTAGTGTGTGTTAGCAGTAAATGTTATGGAATGTGTGTGCCGTGTTCAGTGTTGAAACTTCCGTTTGCTTTTTCAAGAAATCCATGAATGAGAGCATATTGAAAAGGTGCGTCATTTACAAATTTGGTTTGTAGAGGATAGGACGGCCAGCTTACTACACAAGCAGCAGTTAAAAAAAATTACGGTTGCTTCTTAGGCGTTTTTTCTTTTCAGATAGGAATTATCTCGTTCAGATGGGTGGTTTGATTGAGGGGGCGCAGATGTGTCCTCCAGCGACAACTGTTGTCAGTAATGCGAGCGTCATCGATCCTGTCTGCCCCTACTGCGATCGCTTCATCAGCCATTATAAGGTGAGCTGCTAATGTGCAAGTTTAACATCTCGGATTTCCTTTTTTTTTTTTTTTTAGATGTCTGATTACTAAGATAAATTCTTTGCAGGGTAATATTAGGCGTCACATTAATCAGTGCATGAAATTTCCGCGTAATGCTGGCAAATTCCGAAGAAAAGGTACCATTTCCTTGACTTTTTGATTTTATCTCAGTGAGGGATTTCAAAGCCATT